CTGAACTCAAGGGCTTCAGACCTTTCCCTAGTCTATTATTATTTTTAATGATTACAGGAATGACAGCTATTGACTCAGATCATAATAGGCAAATCTAGGGACTGTGGCCCTGTGGTGTAGGGTTTCATTAATAAATAAGGATGTTTTCTTGGCCAAGTGCAATCATTAGAAAATTCAAGCTTTGACTTTTTTCTTTTCTTTTCTGTGCTTAGATTACAACTTCTTAATTTGCTAAAGTGAAGTCCAAAGACCCCCCCAACCCACTAGAGGGCAGAACCCTTTGATTTTGTGTTAATTAAATGAGTTATTTTTCCAGAGTCCTCACAAATATTTGTTATTTGAATGAAAGAGGAAATGAATTATTCTCTTATCGAAACAAGCGCCTATAGAATTAAACAATTTGCTTTATTAAATTTTTAGCAGCGCATGTCTTTTCCCTAAAGCAAGTGAGAATTAAATAAACTAACAGAAGTGGACTGTTACATTCTTGGAAATTACCTAAGTATACAAAAACAAGGGAATGATTAATAAATACACCTCCAGCTCACATACTACCTGATTTTGGGTGCTATTTTGAAGTTCAATTGCTGTTAGGGGTTGAATTATGCCTCCCTAGAAACGATATCTTGGAATCTTGACCCCTAGGACGTAAACATATGACCTCATTGGAGACAGGGTCTTAACAGAGATAATCAAGTTAAGACAAGGTCATTAGTGGGTGTCCTCACCCAGTATGACCAGTGTCTTTATAAGAAGAGGAAATTTGGACACAGACACACAGAGAGGACACCATGTAATGATGAAGATTTTCTTAAGCAGTGATCGATCTATAGCCAAGAAATGACAATGATTGCCAACAAATCACCAGAAGCTAGGAGAGGGGCCAGAATGGTTTTGCTCACATACCCCAGGAGGAACCGGTCCTGATGATACCTGGATCTCTGACTTCAAGCCTCCTGAACTGTAGACAATGCATTTCTGCTGTTTAAGACATTCAGCTGTGTTCTTTGGCACAGCAGCCCTAGCAAACTAATATAAGGAACCTACATACCTACCTATTTTTCTAGATAAGAAGAATTTGCTGTTAATATTATTTATTTTTTCTAGGAAATAATCAACAGCTATATTTTAGGATGGAAACATTTGTCTAAAGATAAAGACATCTCATTCTAAATTTTCATTTATTTGTGACTATTAAATGATTTTTATTTTTTGAAGTTTCTTTTATGAAAACGATTTCATGGGAAGAAAGCCCAATTCCTGTATTTCATCATTATATTCTAGAAAACATAAGATGGCAAATGCCATTTTGATTCTAACAGTGATAACATTTCTACACAGAATATATTTGATTGCGGACCGTGAGCTTCAAGAAACTATACCAACAATGAAGATAAAAGTTCTCAGAATGAGTAAAATGTGTGTGTTACAGCAGTAAACTGAAATCAATTACACCCCAGCCCAAGGGGCATAACATAAATAAAGGGAGGATTAACGGGGAAGTTGGTACAGGCTCCCAGGATGAGCTTTAGAGGATTACAAAAATAGAATCATATTCTGTGTTTATTGATGTCATGATTCCCTCCCCATTTTTACCCTGGGAATGTATATGAATAATTCAGGCAATATTAAATACTGCTGCCGTGTGGTTTAAAATATTTTGCTGGCTCAAAATGTTTAACAATGGGGCCCCGTACAGAGGATGCCAGACCTAACGCCATCAGGAGCAAATGAAAAAACATTTCTTTGATAAATTCCTCATGAGCATGGATTTGATATGGCTGTTACTATTTAAAGATCAAGCACTCAACTAAGATAATCTATTATCTCTTAACCCCTCTTACTAGTAAGTGATTAAACCTAAAAGTACATATAATTTGAGTGATTTTCTAGGGAAAAGCAAAGTTGTATATGATTGCCCGATCGAGACGTACCAGCAGGTTCCATCTGCTTGGAAACGTTCACTTGAACAGGAACCTTTTTGTTGTTGCAATCTTAGCTGCTTCCTAAGACAGATGTGTTTGTTCAGTTTTCAGGAGAGACAGCAGCTGCTCAAATTCAAAAATAATAGATAGGGGTAATTTTAAGTGGCAAACATGAAAGTTGATTTCCCAGTCTTGCTTGCTGCCAAGCAGCTGGGCAGCCAGAAGGCACGCGAGCCTCCTCGGGGCCCATTCATTGCCATGTGTGTGCGATTTCGTCCTGACTCCAGTACAGGTTCAGAATCCTATCCTGTCCACGGAAGGGACACGCCTGAAGGAATGCTACAAACATACTGCTTTTCCCAGTGCGGGCGACTTGGCCCTTCATCTCTCACGGCAGAAGGGAAGTGTGTCTTTACTGAAAGTATGCCTTATAGCAGTACCCGTTCTGCCAGAATGGCCCAAACCCCCATACCCAGCCCCTCACTGACCACAACTATACAATTTGGATACATTACAAAAGAAAACAAAAAACGACGTGAGGACCCCGAAATATGAGCAAAAGCAGATGGGTGAGGTAGAGAGTTAACAGTAGGAGAAGCAGCCTGTCCCAGGGGAGTTTCCTGGTTTTCCTTCAGTTTCCTCTCTCATAGCTTTGCACCGGGGTGGATAACAGCCACACAGGGGCACAGCGTGGGCGGCTAAAACTTTCTCAGAAAAGCTGGATATTTTTGGCCCAGGAATAATGGAATACAAGCCAGGCTGGCCCAAGTATGTGGAAGAAATCCAAGAGGAGGGACAAGTGAAAAAGAGAGGCCAGCATTCCGTGTAGAAACCCATAACACTCCTGGCGTCATGTGTGAACCGCACATGCTTCGTGCAAACCCAAGGCAGTGAAGCAAGGACTGAGAACTCGACTGATGTTTGAACCACCTGCAGAATCCCAGCCTAACGCCTGGACCTCACACGGTTACATGAGACAGGCCCAAATCAGCACGACCAAGGCCTTACAAAGATACCTGAGATTTGAAGGAACCACTCCAACAAAAGTTGCAGCACACCTGACAGTCTGAACATAAGGAAGTCAATTCCCTACAGAGATAAACGATCGACATTCTCCCAGTATTATAACACAACCCAGATTCTACACAACGTAACACTCACAATGTCCAGTATGCGATAAAAAAATAAGTCACACACCCCAACTGGGAAAGGTGAGCCTTTCTCAGAGGGACAGGAATTCTGGGAGGACTCAGTTTTTGAAATTATCAGGTAAAGATGTTAAGGCAGCTGCTGTAACTGTGCTTTATAAGGTAAAGAAACATCTTTGAAAAAAATGAAAAGGTCGACATTGTAAGTGGAGAACTAAACATTACAAAGAGGACAAAATGGAAATTTTACAAATAAAAAATGCATTATTTAAGTAAAAAAAACCATGGGGAGCTCCACAAAACCGGTCACCTTTGCCTTTACGGCAGTCCCAGCACTAATAATGCTTCCTGGCTCAGCACAGGCCCGTGAAACATAGTTAACGAAAAAAAAAATTCCTAAAAGGCAGGCAAAATAAAACATTTTAAATATTTTAAATTGATTTTTAAGCTGATGTGAATTATATAATTTATATAAAAGCACAAGTTTTGTTTCTAATGGAGAAATTTCAGTTCTTTATAAGAAGGCTAAACCACATATTTATTTTTGAAATATTCACTATCCCCTATGAAGACAAAATAAAAATTAATCCATTAAATCTCTTAGGTATCTAAACAATTTTGTTAAAGTTGTCCTAAGTATTCTGCATGTAAGGAGCTTGGAAGTCGCCACTCTGTCCTAACAAATAAAAAGCAAAGCGAACTAAAAAAAATAAACAAACAACAATGAACAACTGTACCACAAATTAGAGAGACAGACTGGCAGATACAGAAAGTCACCACACTTACCTGATCCAATGGTCCCCGGGTGGGGAGACGTGAGCTGTGATTCACAGACCGTTGGCGATCAGTGCTGAGAAGTCCCAGAATTAAAAATTCCAAGTGGACCCCACCATAGGTGGGTCTTCCTCTCCAGGCGTCTGTGAACCCCACTTCCAGGAGCGTGACCAGGTTGGAGGAACATTCTCCCAAGCTCCCAGCAGGAGAGGGGAAGGAAACCGTTTGGAAATACACTGGAGCCTTGTGTTCTTAATAAGGTGTGTCCACAAGTGAAACTGTTTAAGCAGAGCCTTACCTGTTGGGGTTTTATTGGAGCCTGACTGACTCAAGGGAAGAGAAGTAACCCAAGTGCAGCCAGTCGTAGCCTTGCACAAGGGAGAAGGGACGCAGCCAGCTCCAGTCCACTCTAGTCGTCCTGTCCCCAGAGGAAGGGAGACAGGGGCATGTGAGCCACTCACCATCCAGAGTCACAGGCTCACAAGGGCCCTGCTCGAAGGACTACGGGACACTTCCCCTCCCCCGTACCGTGCCAGCACGTTACTAATGGACTACTGACAGCAGTCCCTTTGACCCAGTGCATCGTGTCTGGCTATCAAGAAGAGAATTACAAGGTGTACCCAACGGCAGGCATCACAGTCTGAAGAGGCAGAGCAAACATGAAAACCAGACACGGCGGGGGTGTCGTTGTGATCAGACGGGGGCTTAAACAACTATGATTAATATGTTAGGGCTCGGATGGGTAGGCAGCATGCAAGAACAGATGGGCCATGTCAGCAGAGAGATGGGAATCCTAAGAAAGGACCGAAAAGAAAATGTCGAGATAAAAATGACTGTAACAGAAAGGAAGAACTCTTCTGATGGGCTTTTTAGACTGGACACACATGAGGCAAGACTCTCTGAGCTTGAGGAGATATCAATGGATCTTAAAAAAAAACACCCCAAACCCAAGAATATGTACAGACTGGGGCACTGGCAAAAGGTATAGCATATGTGTCATAGGGTTCCAGAAGGAAAGAGAAAGGAACAGAAGAAATACATGAAACAGTAATGATTGGGGATTTCCCCAGTTTGATGTCATCCACCAAACTAGAGATCCCAGAGAACACTCAAACAGAATAGACACTAAAAAAACTGCACCAAAACACCGTACCTCTGACTCAGGGATGTTTTCAGCACATCTGCCCCTATCATGGTTGGCGTGTTCTCCGTCCCAGGTTCCATGACACACGGAAGTCACAAGTTCTCTTTCCTGCCGGCCTCCCCTCAGCTGGAACCAGTGTGGCTGAGCCCCAAGGCAGCTCACCCGATCCGTGCTCTCCGGCTCTTATTGTTCATTGATGTTGCTTTGAGTCGTCAGCTCTGAAGAGTTTGAAGAAACGATTTTGTAAGTTATCATACGTTCCTGGTTGGGATGACAAGGAGTAGTGTTCTCTTATACTTTCTTCTGCTGAGCAGGGCAGGATGTTTTTTCACACCAACTTAAAGCATATACAGAGGGTGCCAAAGAAAGGTATACACATTTTAAGAAAGGAAAAAAACTGTATTAAAATTACGCTGATGGTAACCACTTTGAGCCCCTCTTGTAATTGCAGAAGTCAAATGTGATTTGTATTCTTCTTTCCTTTTTTTTTTAATTGATATTTATTGGGGTGACAACGGTTAGTAAAGTTACATAGCTTTCAGGTGTACATTTATGTAATACATCATCTGTATATCACATTGTGTGCTCACCGCCCAGAGTCAGTTCTCCTTCCATCACCATATTGTTCATCCCTTTTACCCTTCATTTTCAGTATATATTGAGTATTACAATTTTAATAGTTTTTTTCTTTCTTAAAATGTGTATACATTTTTGGGGCACCCTCTGTATTTAACCAAGCACAGCAGACCTGCTGAGGGTGAGGAAAGCATTTCTGTACTCTCATAGCCAAACAGAGTCTGTGCAATAGAAAACATTTTTAGAATATGAACTTGTGGATTTTTATTATTGAAGAACTCTAAGCTCTCATTTGCCTCAAGAAGCCTGTCTAGCTTTCTGTTTCCAGATTCTGCCCATTACTATGGAATTTTATAAAGCCCCTGAGTTGATGATGCTTTCCTGTTAGTGTTTAAGTAGCCCTGTCGGTATGGGAGTATTTCACAACCTTCTCGAAGAATTCTGAATAATATCTTCAAGAATAATTCTGGAAAACATGTATTACATTTTACCAAAAACGCTTGTGATTTAAAAAAAAAATCTATTTTTTTATAAACTGCTTCCAAAAATCAGAGCTAAAATCACTTAGAAGCCAAATTTAAATAGGAACAGTGATGCACTGGTGTTTCTACATAAAGAATGGGAATTTTAAATAGTTCTAAGACCAGAAATGAGAAAGAGCATCCGTAACTATACCGATCTTGAAATGAATATTTTAGGAGTTGGCATTACCTGGTATTTGCTGTGGATTCTTTCCGATGGCCACTGGTGGAAGATAATACTACAAGTCAAGCCTCACTCAGTGTTTTCAATGTCCAAGGCGCCTAATTTCTAATTTTAATCTGCAAAACATTCCAGTGAAGTGAGAACGTTATTACTACTGTTTTACAGATGGGGAATTTGAAGAACAAAATTTCGTTAATGACCAAGTTTATACAACTAGTTAGAGGCAGTCCATCCTGCGCTAGAGTCTATTTTCTCATTTTGTTTGTCCGCTTCAACTTAGAAAAATCACAAATCAAACTACATTCCTAAATTGTGGGCTACCACAATGTAACCTTATAAGATTTTGATTTTCATGTTTGAAATAGCAGTTCTGAGACTATAAATTTAAATACATTTGGAACCATAATCACTGATTTTCTTTAAAATGAATTCATCTAATGTTATAAATGAGATATGCACACTATGGTTAGCATTTCTGTTCATACACTTTTTTCTATGTATTCTTGTTCTATTTTATAAGTACCAAATTTACTTGAAATCAAAGTATTTCGAATGGGTTCTCCACAAGGTTGTACTCAGGGTCCGTTTAATACACACACAAACCAAAAACTGCCAGTGTAAAGCCACACATGTATTTCAAATAATATCTTTTTTTATCATTGTTTTTGTTGGCACTGGAAATGTTCTCAGTCCTACATAGAGGTGGCAGCTTCAGTATATCTGTGACGTAATCATCCCACGGAGGACATGTACCATTGAAGTGATACCTCAGGTTTTCTCAGCTTTAAAATATATTCCCAAAGATCTAAGAAGGTCAAGCAGGAGGACGGGGGCCAGCTGCTTCCCGCCCCCCCCCCCCCCCCCCCCAGCCTGCAGCGTGAGCCTCGTGGGGCTTCTCGCTCTGAGCTCCCCCGAGGCCCAGCCGTTCTCCTCGGAGGGAGACTGCCAGCTGGTGTTCTCTGTATGGGTTCCAGAAGGAGGAGGATAAAGTGGCACATTGGGTGACATTGTTTATTTTTATTACTAGTTTCAGGTGTACAAAACAGGTAATAGTTAGACCTTTACGCCCCTCACAAAGTGATAACCCCCCTCCCCCAATCTACTACCCCTGACATCGTATAGAGCTGTTACAATTCCACTGACTCTATTCCTTATGCTGTACTCCACATCCTGTGATTATATATACATAAAATTATAGTTGACATTATTATTCAGCTTCAGCGTCAGGTGTACACTGTGGTGGTCAGGCATCTACACCACCCATGAAGTGGTCTCCCTAATAAGACAAGTGTCCATTTGACTCCCTACAAAATATTTACAACATTATTGGTTATAGTCCCCGAACTGTCTTTCATATCCTGTGGCAATACTGTAGTTACTTATTTATGCTAATACCTTCTCCCTCATCCCCACTCCCCTCCCAGCTAGCAACCATCGGTTTTTTCTCTGTGTCTCTGAGAATATTTGTTTAGTTTGCTCATTTATTTATTCTTTAGACTGCACATATAAGTGAGATCATATGGTATTTGACTTTCTCTGACTTATTTCACTTAGCATAATAGTCTCTATGTCCATCCATATCGTTGCAAATGGTACGATTTCATTCTTCTTTATAGCGGAGTAATACTCCATTGTGTAAATGTACCATAGTTTATTAATGTAGTCGTCTGCCGATGGGCATTTCGGTTGTTTCCAAGTCTTGGCTATTGTGAATAGCGCTGCAATGAACATAGGAGTGCATATATTTTTTCGGATTAACATTCTGAATTTCTCTGGATAGATACCCAAGAGTGGAATTGCTGGGTCATACGGTGGTTCCATTTCCAGTTTTCTGAGATACCTCCATACTGATTTCCATAATGGCTGCACCAGTCTGCAGTCCCACCAGCAATGCACCAGGGTTCCCTTTTCCCCACGGCCTCGCCAGCACTTGTTGTTTGTTGATCATAGCCATTCTGACAGGTGTGAGGTGGTATCTCATTGTGGTTTTCATTTGCATTTCTCTGATGATTAGTGAGGTTGAACATTTTTTCATATGTCTGTCAGTCATCTGTATGTCCTCTTTAGAGAAATGTCTCTTCATTGTTGTTTAAGCCACTGAAAACTTAGGGTTGTCTGGTAATGACCGATATGTATGCTATTTATACTTTTTTACTCTAAGTCTCATTTGCTGATTTGGGTATCTCAATTTTTATGGTGTTGGATTTCTTTTTTTTTTTTTTTTTTGCCTCAAATATCAGTTGCTTATTTGCTGTATTTTCTTAGCTTTAATGACTCTTTATCTCTGATGAGGGGTTGTAGCCAAATGGTAGCAGCACTGGTCTTGGGAGAACGAGTGAGCCTGATGCGTGCGTTCCCCTTGGGTGTAAGCTATGTGGGCGCACCGCCCCATCATGTGCCCCGAACTCTGAAAATGCCCACCCCACTGGGTGGTGCTCAGTTCTTCAGTCGGGCGGCCAAGAGAGGATCGGAGACCCCCTTTTCTAGTTCATTCCTCTGTCTTCGTTGTAACTTGGTGTTACTTTGGGCTCTTTTCTGCTGCTTTCTCAATCCCCAGGATGTACATTCAGAGCCTTTCTCAGGTTTTGAAAGCAGTTTTCAAAATTTAACCCCAGAGTAAGTGTAACAGCTGCTTGCTGTTCGTGACAAGGTGAGTACAGCGGCCATCTGTCCGGGCTGAATTCCTAATTCATTATCCTGACAATCGGTCCTGAACCCCCAGCTCCCTTTGTGCAGCTGCCTCTGAACTGGAGTGTTTTTGGATTCCATTTTCCTCTCTAGCAGCTTCTTTCTAAACACGCTTTGACCTGTGGCATCTCCGCTCCTCCATCAGCAATAGGATTCCATTTGCCTTCTGTGTTCCGAGTTCTTCAAGAGTTTTGTTCTGCTGATGGCGCACTTTTCTAAGTTTCCAGAGCTACTGTGCATGCACTCTGTTATTTCATGGCATTTCTATAATTTTAAGATATTCTTAGTGAAAAGGGTGGAAACACAAGACACTGATCCCTCTTACTTTAATTGCTCATTTGTATTCCTATTTATAACTTTTCCATGTTATCATTCATGCTTTAAATGACATATTCAAACAGAGTGGCCAAGTATAAAGTTAAAGTAAATTATAATTTTTTATGGGTAGGGGCTCATACCTACTAGTGGGCATATATTCACTGGGCAACGAATTAGCAATTGTGGAACTTTTTTTTTTTAAATACTTAACTTTGATTATCGCATTATGTAATTAAAATGCTGCCAGAGAAATCTAATCCAATCCCCTTCTTTTCACAAATAAATAAACCATAAATCAGGGAGTGAAATTACTTACACGAGGACATCTACTGAGCTTTCCCAGGGTCAGGCCTGGAATGTGGCCTTTTTAGTCGACGTCACTTTTGTAAAAATTCCTATTTCACTACCTCATTGATTATTGGGTGGATAAGCTGCCATATGTGAGAGCATGGAAAATTAAGTTTCACAGAAAATGAACTTTAAAATGGGCAAATGTGATTCTTTTGAGATTTTATGTATATCCCAGGCGTACCAAAACCTGTATACAAGTGGACACTTTGGTCAGCGTTGCTCAAGCAGTAGGTCATCATTATCAGAAGTGTCTGGATGCTGATGGGAACCACTTTGAGCACCTCTTGTCATTGCAGAAGTCAAACGTGACTTGTATTCATCTTTTGTTATCAGTATATATTATTATAATTTTAATAGTTTTCCTCTATTAAAACATGTGTACACTTTTTTTGCACCCTCTGTATATATGTAAGAAATATATGTATATGTTTCTTAGAAATATATGTATATATTTCTTACATATATATGTATATTTGTATATATATATATATAATCTGAAAAAAATACATACATAATACTATAGACTTAAATTAAGTGTTTCTCCAACTGAATAACAATACAGACAATTGGCTGAAACTTCTATTTCTCTTTGCCTTTGGAACCTGAGTTTCAATTAATGGCTATCATTTAATTATTCATGATAAATGAACATCTTTAATGGGATGCTCATGGAAACACATTGTGCACCCATTTATTTTATAATTACAAGAGTTTTTAATTTTTTTCATGTTATGCCAGGCAAGAAAATACATTCTTGACCAAAGAAAGGGACGTATATTTTTTCTATGAATCTCTAGTACCTCTTATATATATCTTTTGGGTCATAACACACATTCATATGTTCTTTAGATATGAAATTATGCATTGTACTTGCATATTCATTCGCCCTTTACAATGTATCTTTTCGGAACCAATGTCTTCACCAAATCCCACAAGAAATATTGGCTAATGTTATAGAGGAAATTTTATCCTCCTCCCATGCCCTTAAACTTAGAAGAAGTATTTCTGATAGGGGAAAAGCATTGCAATAGTTTGGGGTACACAAGTTTCAAGAGAGATGAAAAAAATTTATTAGAGGCGTAATTGATATGTACAGGAAAAAAAGCTATTTTGTAGAAGAAATAAATGTAAATTTTCTCAAATTTTCTTCTAAGTTGTCAATCAACAGCATACAAGGCCTATAAAAGTTGACAAAATCAAACTATGGACACTGAACTAGATATATTCCACTAGCATTTAAATATTAAAATGTTTCATAGATGAAATCTATGAGTTTAAGTTTACTTCCTCAAATGCAATCTACAGGCAATTCAGAGTACATGTAATGTTTGGGCATCTGAGGGCATAATTAGATTAGCCCAAAGTTTAGCTGCTAATATAAAGCCCTGAATTCAGTCACCTTGCGACTTTAAAATGTTTCAAGGTTATTTTACTAATGAGTGTGAAAATAAGATGCTGTTCTATTTATTAATCCATTTGTGTTGTCTTAAACTCCTGGTAGTTTTAACAAAATGTTTGCATTTCCAGAAAAGTTTCAGACACAGCATACAAATTCTGAAAGAATGTTACACGTAGCATGCTTCAATTAAAACTAAATCAGAAGAGATGTATCTAATGCAAGTTAAATCATTACTTGAACTATGGTTACTTCTTACTAGTAATTCCAAACTCTTCTTTGTGCATAAGAATACAGAGTGCCGACTCCCCACTTTTATGATTTCAAGGAAATGTAATTAAATGCAGTATCCAGTTTTCTTGC